ATTTCTAGAATGTTAAATACCGTTTATTAATAAGAAAAGGGAAAAGTTAAAGACCAATTCTTTATGTTTTGTGTTATTTTACCTTAATGAACTTATAAACAGAACTTTATTTTAGGTGAACACAGTACATGAACACTTATAACAATACTGGATACAAACATTTCTGTCAACCAGACACGTTTTTGTTGATGTTGGGCACGGATAATTTTTGTCATCACAGAATATGAACATTCATGTCAATGCAAAACGCAGATGTTTCTGTTAGTAAAGGACACGAACATTTTCGTTATATGACACGGACATTTCTGTTAACATAGGACACGAAGATTTCTGTTAATACAGCCCACGGACATTCATGCCGATACAGAACTCTTGGTATTTATCACGCTACACCTATATGATGAAATAGTTAATGTGTGTGAACGCTACGTGGAATACTAAGTTGCAACGAGCGGTATTATTTGAAGCTCTTTGCCTTGTTTGGTGTAGAAAAGATTAATACAGATAGAAATGTGGATAACACTAAAAACAAACGAACGATCATACTGACAAAGTAATATACGGTTGAAAACTGTATAGGTATGTGGAAAGAAGAATGAACGGTATGGCATGTTGGTTTGTTTTGTTTTTAAGTTAAGCGCAAAGCTACACAATGGGCTATCTGTGCTCTGTCCACCACTGGTATCGAAACCCGGATTCTAACGTTGTAAGTCCGCAGACATACCGCTGTGTTACTGGGGGGGCTCATGTTGGCTAAATGGCTGAAAAACTAAAGGGCGAACTACAGGAACGGACGTTTGAATGGATTTATGAATAATAATTCTTCTACACGAAATTTAATTTCAACCTAAATGACTGGAATAAATCATACTCGTAGGCTATGTCACATATAAGAGCGATAAGATAACCTGTTAATATAAACATTGTTCACGAGTATGTAAACGTTTTACAAGAAGCAACGCCAAGTGATAAGGCTAGGGGAAGGGTAACAGACAATGTCGATTGTGTGTTTACAGAGATGTGTCCGGGCCTGTTTAACGTGCCCAGAATCTAAATCCGGGGTTTGCGTTCCCGTTGCCGAGAAAACGCGCCTTGCACGCTGGGTCAGGGGTGCGTTGTAAAAGTGACAGTGAAATCCCACTATTCGGTCAGACAAGAGTAACCTCAGAAAAGAGTGTTACTGACTAGATGTCGTCTCTTTCTCGCCTATCAGTTCAAAATTACCAAGAGGTAAGATATTCCTTTGTGTACAAAATTACCAACAGACATTTTCGTCTGACGCACAAAACGATAATGTTTTGATCAAGAATTGGTGTGCACACGTTATGCTCGAACGATCGAAAAAGTAACGTTTCGTTAAGTGAAAAACGATACATTATCACATATTCTAGTTTTATAAGAAATGGAGAAAAAACTAGCTTAAATTAATATTACTGTGATTAGTCAGGTACTATTCAACTGTAAGCTGATAAAATCTGTAATTAATGAAACAAACATTTTCTTTGACGTCTGTACGATCATATTTTTCAGTTGTTTTCTTTCAACACTGCAAAGCAAAATGAACTACAGATTGCTAATATAAGGCTTAACTGTTTTTATTTTTCCTTTTTCGTTAAGGTCTATGAATAAGTTCTGTTTTTTACCATCTGTAGGAAGATAAAGAGATTGTTTGTTAAAGATCCTTGTTCCTAAGTCATGTATTGAAAGGAACAAATACTGACATCACAAGATCTATAATCTAGGAGCTGTAGAAGCCTAGAAGCAGGTGATTGAGGCAGATAAAACGATTTCTGTCTCTTTCAACCCCCTTTATTGCTGTGTTCTGGCGGTCTGTGTGCCAACAAACAGCGGAGACCCTTCCCCTGTGATCTATTCAGAAGTCATTTGTTCCACGTGGTTGACTTTATGGAGCTGACGTTAAAAAGGTTAATTGGATGCCGTGAAGCGAGCTTCTAACAGCGTTCAAATTTACTTCTGTTTAACAAGGGAAAATTCACCCTTGGGGATTTATTGGGTTGACAAGTATAAATTATTCAAATAACGTACTTTTTATATCTATCTTTATACCTTTATACCTACATAAAGTCTTATTAAATATACGGTTATAAGAACCCAAACAGCACCTCTGAATTTAAACGTAAGTCTTTAAACCAATATGTTATTATTAGCATTTGAAATTTGAAAGCTTTTCCTAGTTTAACTATAATTTCAGTTGAATATTTGCTGTCCTAACTTACCCTAGTCTTATTTTAATAGCTAAAGCCTAATAAGTTACAACCTAAAAGTGTACAATATTTGATAGTGAACTATTCGAAAATCACCATTTGCTGCATATTTTCATAAAACAGGAAGCTTCTTCAGAGAGTAAGTACAGAATCAATTCCAAATATTTTGTCTGTTCCCTAAAACGCATATTTCTAAGGCTTTTTTTCTCAATTTTTTCTAATTATTAATATGTTTGTAGTTTTTCAGATTAGTAAAATTGAGCATCTTGTGTGAAAAAGAACCGTGAGGTCCAATCTGTTATTGGTTACATATCATTGGTTTCTGAGAGTACCGACCCTCATCGACAACGTTGGACAAAACACTATGTGTACGACAGAAAACACTATTTTAACTGAAAATAACCCTTCAGTGAAAATAAGGAAACAGAGTGGTATTTAGCAAATCCGAGAGTATTTTTATCGAATGAAGGCCAAAAACATCAACAAAAGTTTCATTAGAACCATATAGTGTCAAAGAAGCTTTGTTAAAATTTGCAGAGCTGGAATACTGGAAATTGAACAAGAACGATATATATTTTAGCGTTCAGTTTGGTTCCATATATATAAATATAGATTTGTCTTATTTGTTCACTTGTTTTATTTGTCTTCTTTGGCTTCTTGATCTAAAAAAGTAAAAACAAAAATTATAACGGAACAGAACAAAAACAACATGTAATTCACGAGTAGCAATGTGCAATTTAAGTGAAATACGCGCGATGATTGTTTCTATATACAACAAATAGAAACATACTCTGACAACAAAAGTTTATTTTTAATCCTTGAGTTGCTGGAACCACTGGACTACTTTCAATACTTTACTTGCTTTCTGACCTTGAAACACGTGGAAAAGTTATATAACATGTTTTACTTGAGTTTATCGCATGTTGAATTTTCATTTAAAACGAAAAGATTTTTACTTGAGCTGAAATAATACAACTTGCTGAAAAGTGGCAATTTTCACGAAACCACGAGTAGTTAAAAGTTCCAGCAATTTGTGTATGAATTTTACTTTAAAGAATTGTGAATTATATGATAGAACTACAGGGGATGTGTTTATGATTTGGTGTTGAGTGATGAGGAATACTGATGTGTTTTCCGAAAGATGTATAGTCCTCAGTACTGAAGATCACAGACCAAAAGTACATCAGAAATAAAATCCTAACCGTCGCTAAGGTATTATGCTCTCAGGTCACCTTTAAAAAACTTTGGGGTCAGAAAAGGGATCGTTTTGATTATGCAAAGACTATATTTCTAGCACAGTCCTAAAATCATCTATGTATCTTACACAATCAAAGAATTGTTTTATTATTAAGAAATCGCATTTCTGTAACAGTAACGTTCTTGTGATGATACATCTACATCTAATTAACGGTCTTATCATGACACACTCTTGACTGAGTAAGGCTCTTACGATAAAACACGTTTAGTAATGGTCTTAAAGATGAAACACTCCTGTCTCTGTAACATTATTGTGATGATACACTACTGTTTTAGTAATGTTTTTGTGATCCTATGTCTTGTAATGGTATTTCAATGTCATACTCCTGTCTCTGTAACATATTTGAGATGACACACTTCTGTCTTATTAACGTTCTTGTGATAGCACACTCCTGTCTCTGTAAGTTCTCGTGACGATACAATTATGTCTAAGTAATAGTCTTATAACGACACGCTTCTGTCTCAGTAACGTTTTTGTGGTAGCACACTCCTGTCTGTGTAACGTTCTTGTGGCGATATAATTATATCTAAGTAATAGTCTTAGTAATGGTCTTACAATGTCACAGTCCTGTCTTTGTATCTTTCTTGTGATGACATATTTCTATCACAATAATAATCTTGTATCTATAACAATCTCATGAGTTTTATGGATTCATTTTCTGTTTCATTAACGTTCTTGTGGTTTCAAATTTCTTTCTCAGTAATGAACTTTGATGCCTCATTTCAGTCTCTGTAATGATGTATTTCTGTATCTGTAACATTTCATAAACTCAAACATCTGCCTCACAAATGTTCTTGTGACGACACATATTTTGTTTAACTTATATTCTTGGGACAATTAATTTCTGTCTAATCAACATTTCTCAATAGCGTTTTATTATGGGATACTTTTTTCTCAGGACTGTTTCAATGATATATCAGTTCTGTTTACGTATGTCATTGAGATAACACAATTTTATCGTAGTGGTGATCATGAACCGTTACTACCTTTTGTTTGTTTAAAGAAATGTCCTTGCAACATTTGGGTTTCTGTATAAAACTTTCTTCTAGTCCCTCGCAATGTTTACATTACAAAAGATCTAACAGGCTAGTGCATTAGACTGACGACAAAATTTTCTTTCTATTAAGAAGATCAAAACCCCAACAATAATGTTTTAATTTGTCATTTCTAAGCTATTAGGACAAATAAACTTTCTGGAACACAAACGTTCTGATCTGCCACAAGAAGAACAAACGTTCCCTTTCTTTTCTAACTACAAGGGAGCGAGACAAACTATCACAGAATATCTTTAAACACTCAGTTGCATAGAACGAAGTCAGTAACTTCGATGTATCCAATAAATCTAGAAAAACGAGAGTTCCGTCATTTGGTTATGTCACAAGAAATACTACGCAAAAAAATGTCAACGTATTCATCCTCCTAAACTTAATTTAGAAAAAAATTGCTTGTTTACTGGTAGAATTGACTTTAGAAAAATCAAATATGGCAATGTATAAAACATTTAAATAAAGACTTACCATTTCTTTCTAACGTATTTCAATTTTGGTGGAGCAACGTACTTTCTCTCGTCCTTGCTCACTTCAAGTGACGTCTTTGCAGTGAATACAGATTTACTGTTTCGATCAGGATAGAATGCGCCACCTCAATGCTCACCAAATCTTCCCAGCCAATGAACTTTAAGAAATCAGTGGAATTTGCGAGTTCACTCTCACTCACGAAGTGAAGCCTAGTTTCTTATCACACCACGTTTACTTGTCGGATTCGGACCTTTTTCTCTACTATGTTTGTATTGTGGTAAACTTACATACTTTCCGGAAAGCTACGAATGTGGCGCCTTCTTCTTCAAACAAAGACTCAAGAGTTATTCTTTACTCAGTGACAGTTATGAAACACTACAATATTCGCTCTTTAGAATTCAAGATTTTATATACATTTGATGCGAAAAATGCAAAAAGTTGGTTTCTTTGTGATTTGTTCTAACAAGAAAAAACAAACCTTAACATATGTCAGAAAATGAAATTAGCCATAAATACATGAGAATAAAGTTAATTTTGTTTCCTTTCAGCGATATGAAAACATAAAGTTCTATTTCCCATTCTTTTCTCATTGTCGCTCTTCTTTCATCTTCTCCATAATACAGTCTTTTATTACATCAGGTTACAGTTCCGTCCACACTTTATACTGTTTCTCAACACTACTCTTACATATTCAGCCCTATTTTACATACTTATTTTTCCGTTGATCACGTACCGCTAATAACACTTTCATCTCACTTCTTCCCGCGTTTCTTGTTCTTTTCCATATTTTATTCAATTCCTTTTTTCATTCCTTATCATACTTTTACTTTCTTTTTCCGTTTGTTTATTGTTGTCGAGCGCAAAGCTGCACAATGGGCTACTGCGCTGTGTTTTCACCACAGTGACTGAACCCAAGGTTTTTAGCATTATAAATTTTCAAGCTAACGCTGAGACTCCTGAAGCTTAGAATAAGCTCTTAATTTTATGGGATCAGTCTTTCCATATTTGCCTCTTTATTCTTCAAGATATTTAACTTTCTCTTTCTCTCACAGCTTTTTACTTAAGCATGTATGTTTTCTTTCTATTTTTGTATTTCTTACAATAATAGTTTTTCTGTTAATTGTTTGTGATAAAACATGTTTATAAAAGTTCTTAAATATTTTATTAAAAGGTTGGTCGATTGTTTTTAGAGCAAAGCCATATTAGGCTATCGAACGCCGGATTTTAGCATTGTAAGTCCATAAATTTACCGCTGTCCCACCAGGGGACTTTATTAAAAGGACAACAATAGTTCACGACCCTTTCGATTTTATATGAAAACAATCATATATTCCTCCGTTCCATAAGTTTGTTATAAAACTCATCATTACACGTCGTTATATCTCATCGCATAGTAAATAGTAATTACTCATATACACTA